ACGCTTAACTGACTGAGCCACCCAGGTGCCCCAAAAGTTTTTTTTTTTTTAATGTTTATTAATTTTTAAGAGACAGAGAGACAGAGCACAAGCAGGGAAGGTGCAGAGAGAGAGAGGGAGACACAGAATCCAAAGCAGGCTCCAGGCTCTGAGCTGTCGGCACAGAGCCCAACACAGGGCTTGAACCCATGAACCATGAGATCATGACCTGCAACAAAGTCAGACGCTTAACTGACTGAGCCACCCAGGCACCCCGAAACACAGAAGTTTTTAATGTTCATGAAGTTAATTTATTTTTCCTTTTATCAATTATGTTTCTGGTGTCATATCTAAAACCCATTGCCTAACCCAAGGTCATGAAGATTTACTCCCATACTTTGTTCTAAGTGTTTTACAGTTTTAGTTTCTTAATTTAGGTGTATGATCCTTTTTGGCTTTCTGTGGTTTGGTTTAAATTTATTTATTTATTTATGTTTTTATTTCTTTATTTTAGTAATCTCTACACCAATGTGGGGCTCAAACTCATGACCCCAAGATCAAGAGTTGCATGCTCTAAAAAAAAAAGAAGAAGAAGAAGTGTTGCACATTCTACTGACTGAGCCAGCCAGGAGCCCCTCTGTTTTCCATTTTGAGTTAATTTTTGTATATAGTGTGAGATCAGGGTACAACTTCATCCTTTTACATATAAATATCTAGCTGTCCCTATGTTATCTGCTGAAAAGATTATTCTTTCCTCATTGAATTATCTTGGCATCCTTGTTAAAAATCTATTGATCATACATGTAAACATTTATTTCTGGACTCTCGACTCTTTTTTATTGATCTATATGTCTATCCTTATGCAAGTACGATGCAGTCTTGATTATTGTATACTTGAAGTTTTAATTTATTAATTTATTCTTTGGAATTAAAAATGTATTGGGGGGCACCAGCATGGCTCAGTCAGTTGGGCATCAGCCTCTTGATTTTGGGGCAGGTCATGATATCGTGGTTCATGGGATTGAGCCCTGCATCAGGCTCTGTACTGGAGGTGCAGAGCCTACTTGGGATTCTCTCTTTTCCTCTCTCTGCCCCTCTCCCGTTCACGTGCCTTCTCTGTCTCTCAAAATAAATAATTATTTTTAAAAAGGTATGTTGAAAGTATATTTTTAAACATTCAAGTTTGTGGACATTTAAGCTTTAATCTTCAGATTTAGAGGTGCATAGGAGGTGCCAGTTAAGCATCTGACTTCAGCTCAGGTCATGATCTCATGGTTCATGGGTTCGAGCCCCACATTGGGCTCTGTGCTGACAGCTCAGAGCCTGGAGCCTGCTTCAGATTCTGTCTCGCTCTCTCTCTGCCCCTCCCTTACTTGTGCTCTGTCTCTCTCTCTCTCTCTCTCTCAAAAGTAAATAAACATAAATTTTTTTAAAAAAAATATTCAGTTTTATTGCACTTTGATTAAAAAATAAAAGAGTTTCATAAGGTACAGAACTCAGTATGTAATCATTAGGCTTATGAATTATAATATTTAGAACCACCTTATCTAATATAGTAACCACCAGCCACATGTGACTGTTAAGCATTTCAAAATGTGGCTAATGTAACTAAGGAACTGAATTTTAAAATTTCATTTAACATTTTCATCACCCTTGAAAATTTCCTCATGCCCAGTTGCAATCAATTTCCATTCTGTGTCAGACAATCTTTCTGTCTTAATAGATTTGCCTGTTCTGAACATTTCATATAATTAGAATCACACAACCTACAGTATTTTGTGTCTGATTTCTTTCACTTAACATAGCGTTTTTGAGGTTCAATCATGCTATAGTGTGTCAATACTTTACTCCTTTTTATTTTTGAGTAATATTTCACTGAATAGATATACCACATTGTATTTATCCAGTTGCCAACTGATGGATATTTGGATTGCTTCAATTTTACGTAATTTTATTATTTTTTTAATTTTTAAAATTATTTTTCATGCTTTTATTTTATTTTTGAAAGAGAGACAGAGTGCTAGCAGGGGAGGGGCAGAGAGATTGGGAGACACAGAAACGGAAGCAGGCTCCAGGCTCTGAGCTGTCAGCACAGAGTATGATGCGGGGCTCAAACTCACGGACTGAGATCATGATCTGAGCCGAAATCGGATGCTTAACCGACTGAGCCACCCAGGTGTCCCTAATTTTAATGAATTTAAGTTTAAATACTGAAGCAGGTAAAATAGTTGTCCTTCAAGCACGACTTTATTGCACTGGGGAGACTACATCTCTCTTTAACCTTTGAAAATTTAGTACATGAATTGAGATGTGCAGTAAGGGTAAAATATACCCTGAATTCCAAAGACTTAGAATTCTTAACATGCTTAAAGGCATAAAGTAAAAGATTGAAAGAAAGAAGACGGAACAGAGATTATCAAAATAAAGTTGAAAGTTGAGCACACTAGGAAAATAGAGTTTCTACATGGAGGGCAGAAACATTAAAAACTCTGAATACCTCCAGTATCCCCTTGTGTTATTTACAGGCGCTGTGTTATTTCATATATATTACCTCTCTCCATCTTCCCAGTGACACAGTGAGGTAAGGACTATCTATTTTGTGCTTGAGGAAACCAAAGCTCAGAGAACTTAGTTTGTCCGAGGTCCCCTTGCTAGCATGTACAAAAGCCAGATTTGACCCCTTTCTGACTTCAAAGTCCGCATTTGTATCCATTGTAGATGAATGGAAAGTTCACCAAGAATGCAAACAAGATACATGTTTGGCCACAGGCTGGTCTTTGGATTTAAGGAACAGTTGGAGCGATCAGTGGCAGAGCAGGGGGGACAAGGGGAGGACCTGACAAGAAAGAGGGACTCTTTGCTCTAAATTGACAAGTCACGTCACATACTACACCTGCTGCTGGCCACCTCCGTCTTGGAAGGCTCTTCCATTACAATGAGGCCCAGACCCGGCCCCTCACCCCAGAGAAATACCTCAGGAGAAACAGCCTTGGCCTCCAGAGGTGGCTCTCACAAAGCCCGGCAGCGCCCCCAGCCCTGCTGTACGATAAGATAAGACACCCGAGGGACAGGGGACAGAAGCCAGCCTGGCGACGCCCAGCTGCTCTCTTGGTGACGTCTGTCCACAGCAGACACCGTCCCCCCAGGGACTCCAGGCTCAGCCAGGAGGCCTCTGGTTTTAAGACCAGCTCTACGGAGCTCCGATAACACTGCCTTTCCAGAGCCTTCTGCAATCAGATTTGTCCCCAGCCTTCTGACCGAGCGTGCAGACGAGTCAGCATTCGGTCCCGGGCAGGGGGGTCTTAGCAGTGATGACTGACAGCAAGAAAGGTCCTCGCCTCCCGAGAGTCAGCAGCCCCAGACTGCTGACGCGTGCGGGGCTGGGCACTGTGAGCGGGGCAGGCCTATTTTTGCCCCAGGACAGTGCTGTCAGCAGGGAGGAGGTGAGGGGCACGCCGGAGGGCCTGAGAGCCGGGCACAGCGCCACTGGAACCCGGCGGAGGGCTGGGGCCCCACCAGCCTGTGGAACCTGAAACCCCCCTCCCTGTGGGTTCACCAAAGCCCAGAGAAGGTGAGGGACCCTGACGACTGGAGCCCATCACACCGTTATGAGAAAAGGCGTCGCTCACGATGGTCTTTTTTTCTCTCCGCTTCCGCGTAATCTTGATCGTAACACACTATTCACCACCTGCTCTTGATCATAATACACTATTCACCACCTGCCTGGAAGAGGTATCGTCCCGGGTTATGCTCCGCAGTGTGCGTCGGTCAGAGAGTACTGTCGCCCCTGACAGGCTTCCAAATGCCATGTCACCGTGTCCCCGGTAGACTGTTGTAATAGGCAAATAGGTCCGTGCAGAAGATTGCCAATGGTGCCCTCACTTTACACAGGAGCCACGCTCCTGAAAGTTGTCCTCACATTGAATTTTGTTGGGTCTAGGGGGGGTGGGGGTGGGGGCTCACCTGAGGGCAAGATATTCCACACTAGAACGCACAGGGGTTGCTTACCCTAGCAGAAACACAGAATGTCTCCTTTAATTAATTTTCTCTTTGTATATCTAACTATTTTTGTAAGATTTTATTTTTAAGTAATCTCTGCACCCAACATGGTGTTCGAACTCACAACCCTGAGATCAAGAGTTGTGTGCTCTACCAACTGAGCCAGCCAGGTGCCCCTATATATCTAAATATATTATCTGTATTTAATTTTATCTTTGGTTATGTTTTTCCTGATTATAAAAGAATGACATTTTGGTTGTCAAAAATTCAAATTGAGGGGGATGCCTAGCTGGCTCAGTCGGCAGAGCATCTGACCCTTGATCTCGGGCTCGTGAGTTTGAGCCTCACATTAGGGGTAGAGACTACTTACAAAAATTGTTTTAAAAATCCAAATTGGGAAAATATATAACTTAGAAAGGAAAAGTCCTTATCATGATATAAATTCCTTCCATATATTTTTTCCTGTCCTTATACAAATGTGTAGTAATCTAAAATAGACTGAATTTTTGTTTAATTTTTATCAACATAAGACCATAATCATATTCATAATGACTTTTTCCTCCTCTAAATACATGTTATGTATCTGGCCATATCTATGCATAAATATCTAACTCATTCCTTTCGAGACATGCATAGTATTACATTGTGTGGATGAAATGTACTCTGGGGAACATTTTCTGTGAGAGAAACTCTGAGAAGTGCCCTTAACAGGTAAATGGATGATAATATTTTAAATTTTAATAGATAATTGCCAAATTGTCCTTCAGAAAAGACTGTAGTGATTTGGGTACATTTGGTAGTAAGTTACATTTACATTCCTACCAAGTGGATGAAAATGGTTGTTTATCCACATCGTCACCAACGTTGAATATTATCAGTCAATCAAATCTTGGCCGCCAGTGTAATAGGGGACACACGCACACAGGCACACACATGCTACAGCCATTTGCTTCTTCAGTGGCTTGTTTGTTCTTATTCTCTATTTTTCTATTAGGTTCACTCTAAAGACCTCAATGTATATCAGAGAAATCAGTCCTTTGGCCTATGTGTTGCAATCTTTTTTCTCATTTGCCTTCCTCTTCTGACGTTTATGGTGTGGTGAGAGCACAGGGTTTGAAGGCAGACTCTGACTTTGTCTCCAATTCACCACCTGAATAACCACGGTTTCGTTACTTAACTTCCGGCTCCCCATCTGTAAACTGAGGAATCCGAACAGTGCTTAGCTCAGGAGAGTGATACGAGAATAAAATGAGTGGAGGCATACGAAGTGCTCAGTGTAGTCCTTGTGTGAAATAAGCACTAAGGGGTATATGCTATTATTAATTGCTGGTGCTGTTATGCATTCAAATAGTTTTAATTTTACACAGTCAAGTTTATTGATCCTCTATGGCTTCTGGATTTTCTGTCATGCTTAGAAAGCTTCCTTCCATCTAAGACGAGACAAATATTCGCCAAGGGTGCTTCTTGAAAGGATTCTGCAGAAATCCCTTTATAATATGAATCTTCCATCACCCCCAAAATTTGACTGTTTGCATACCAGGATCCTTTTTTCCAGGAATATTGTTTAATTTAATTTAAGTTTGCTTAAAATAAGAGAAATGTATTCTCTTACAGTTCTGAGGCTAGAAGTCCAAAATCAAGGTGTCAGGAGGGCCTGCTCCCGCCCAAAAGTTCTAGAAAATTCTTCCTATTTCACCTCCCATCTAGTGGACACCAGCAATCCTTGGCCTTCCTTGGTCTGTGGCAGCCTTAGTCCAATCTCTGCCTCTGTCTTTGCATGGTCATCCTCCCTCTGTGTGTCTAAGTCCCTGTATTTTCTTCTCCCCCGTCCCAGTTTTATTGAGAAATAAGCCACTTTTATTGAGACATACAGCACTGTGTAAGTTTCAGGCATGAGGCATGACGGTTTGATTTACGTACATTGTGAGATGATTACCACAACAGGGTCAGCGAACATCCATCCTACGAACACAGCGTGTCTTGGTCTCTGTGGCACAGCAGGGTGCTTCAGTCTTACCCCATATTCTAGAATTCTCTCAGTGGTGTCTTGTTCTTGAATAGTTGTTAGCTGTTCTCGTGAGGGGGAGTGAGGTCAGGAATAGCCTGTATCACCATCTTGGTGACGTCACTCCTCAGGAGGTTGATTTTTTTTTTTAAGGGGAGACTGACTGCATTTAGAGTGTGTGCAGGGGCACCCCCGTGGCTCAGTTAGTGAAACGTCTGACTTCTGGTTTCAGCTCAGGTCATGATGTCACAACTCGTGAGTTCGAGCCCAGCATCCGGCTCTGTGGTGACAGCGTGACGCTGCTTGGGATTCTTTCTCCCTCTCTCTTTTCTCCCCTACCCTGCTCCCACACTCTCTCTCTCTCACTCTCCCTATCTCAAAATAAATAGATAAACTTAAAAAAAAACTAAAAATAAATAAAATAGAGTACGTGCAATGAATAGGTCAGGTCGCCTTTATGGTGTCTTGGTTTGGGGAACAGACCGTGTTAGCTTGCAGTGTTTTGTCTAAAGAGTGGGCCTGGCAGGCCACACCCACCCCCTTCATAAACTAAATAACTTTCACTTGTCAGAAGTGCCGGCTCCGTGCTGAGCTCCCTACCCTGAAGGAGTTCACAGTCCGATGAGAGAACAGATGAGTCATCAGGTGGAAGGTGTCATTGAAGGCCTCGTGGTAGAAATAACATCCTTGATGGATGTTACTGGGTAGATACCAAGGAGGGGGATGGAGGACATTCCAAACAGTGGGGACAAGATGTTCAGTCACTGATCTACAAGTATGTACCCGTCTCCGATGCATCAGACCCTCTTGCTATCTCTATACAAAGGCATGGAGGCAGGGAGGACAGACTCTAGCATTGGAAAGAGGTAGTGAGATGGAGAGTAGCCAGAGGCCAGATCACAGAGCATCAGACTAAGACTTCCTGTCCCAGTTCTAGAACTTTCCTAGTCAGGTAGCCTTAATAAAGTGGCTTCACCCTTCTGGGGCTCATTTTCCTTGTCCTTAATGTACAGCCTCAGCTTATGTCCTTGGGCTGCTAGGAAAATTGTAGAAGAGTACACGTGTGTAAACATTCTGTCCTGTACAATGTACATATTTGACACCCTTAGGGCACTTTGTGCTGCTAATTAATAACGGGAGTTGTTCCTGCCTAAGGGGTTTCGCTGTGGGTTCAGCCCGTCTGTGTCCCCTGGGGCTCCTGCGCCTGCTTCCTGCAGAGGGGACAGTCTCCAGCTGGATCCCAGCTTCCGTGTCCACAGCCCGCCCTGGTTTCCTGCGTCTTGATTCCTGCCTCTCCTAGTCTTTTTGTTGACCGAGATCAGGACTCTACTCCAATGCCCTTTAACCCTGGCAAAGACACTCCACAGGCAGGTCTGAGTCTCCTCCTCTGGCAGGTTGTTTGTGGCAGGATTAGAATTTGCCCCTGGGCACCTGCAGTGTCCCTTTGGCCATGTTTTCCCCAGATGTTAGTATAGGCCCCTCTCTGCCTCTGGCAATTCTCCCATCTGTCCATGGGGAGAAGTTAATGGCATCTTCCAGCCAGACCTCAGCTCCTCTGCACACCACTAGAGCCCATTTGGAAACTACTGGAAACTGTGTCTTCCCCTGGGTGGTAGTGGTTGTCTCAATGCAGAGGACAGCACCCTGCAGTCGTACAGCCCTGTGCACAGGGCACTTGGTGGGAGTTTTGGAAACCTGTGTTCTGTTTTCAGCACCTTCTAGTTGTATGACCTTGGACAAATCCCTGGCCAGCTCTGAACCTCGGTTTCCTCATTTGTAAAATGAGAGGGTTGGCCAAAGGGCTGAAACTGATTTCCTGCTGGCAGGCAGACATGCACGTGGTCTGAAGGTGAATGCCTTTAAGTGGAGCTGGCACTTCCCAATCGGAAGCATCTTCCCCCACTTCTACCACTGAAGGCATCTGAATTTGTGTTCTTTGCTGCTCCCCAGTCCTGGCCCTTGGGAAAGGAGCCAACGGTCCCTAGCCTTTTTGGCACCATTATTTAAAAGGCCACCAGGGGCGCCTGGGTGGCTTAGTCGGTTAAGCGTCCGACTTTTCGCTTAGGTCATGATCTCGCGGTTCGTGGGTTCGAGCCCCGCGTCGGGCTCTGTGCTGACTGCCAGCTCAGAGCCTGGAGCCTGTTCCGGATTCTGTGTCCCCCTCTATCTCTGACCCTCCCCTGCTCACGCTGTCTCTCTCTCTCTCTCCTAGAAATAAATAAAACATTAAAAAAAATTTAAATACAAAAAAATAAAATAAAAAAAAAGGCCACCAAAGGGAAGAGGTAAGTACAGAACCAGATCAGGCTGGGTTCTCTCACTTTCTGGAGACCAACCTTGACCTAAGATGCAAACAGTGAAGAAGTCACCGGGTTTCCCAAGGCCTGTGGTCCTCACGGCATCAAAGAACTCTTTCATCCTTTTCTCCTACACTTACTAGGAGGCTGGTCTGACTTCGCAGGACCTGCTTAGAGGACCTGCTTAGTTAACAACAAGATATGAATAACCCAACTATAAACCCAATATCTAAACCAATTGTTAACCCAACATAGTCTTCTTCATTATTTCAGAAGTATTCTTTTTCGCAGGTTTCTTCTGAGCCTTTTATCACTCAAGTCTTGCCCCCAGCACCATGGCGGGGGCAGTCCCCACGTGGTTTAATGCTTTGCTGTCACTATCTTGAAATTCTCAATAATTTTGAACTTGGGGCCCCACATGTCTCTTCTGTACTGAGTGCGCTCTGCAAATTACTGGGGGTTACATTAAACACATTTGGAAAACTTTTATCATGTGTTCTACCCATCTGTCCCATTAGAGTCCTGGTTCCTAAGACAGACTCTGTGATTACCAGAGAAAGAACATTCTGAAGGATTCTTCTTGTCCTTCAAGGTCCAGATGAGATGACATTAAAGCCATGAAGTCTCCTCTGACCTCCACAATGGATGCTCTCCTATTTCCCCACTTTATCTGTATCCCACACAGCACCCATACCCTTCTTTAATTCATCACAAATGCCCTGTCTGAATGACTCATCTCCACACTATGCCCTCTGTGCTTTGACTTGCCCAAGATAGATAGATGCTCAATAAATGTTTGTTGACTGATTGGAAAGCAAATAGAACTATCTTCTCAGTACAGAGTACAGGGCACTGCACAAGTGGGTGCTCAATCAATGCTGCTGACTCATTCACGGAGCAGGCCAGGCACTTTACAGCATATGGCCATGCCCTTGCCCCAGGCAAGGAGTCACATGGCCCATCAGAGACTTCTATTCCTACTCAGTGAGGATAGAACCATAGAACCAACGAGGTCGAGCGTGGTACTGCTCAATTACAGGGTTTCCTGGCATGGAGGTGGGAGGAAATTACTCCTTACCCTTCCCTGAAGTTTCAAATGCCCTCAAGAGCAGTTATATTAAAATCCCCTGACACTTGCAAAGCCCCTCAAAGTTTGCAAGCCTCTTTGGCAAACATTATTCTCAAACTGTCCCGTCAGTCCAGACAAATACTTAAATACCAATTATGTATTTGTTGTTTTAAGATTTTTTCCTTTTACTGTGTCATGTTCATTGAGGAAAAATCTGAAAATACAGATAGAGCAAAAGGGAAAAGAATACCTCAGGTCCTAGCACCTAGAGATGATACCGTTAATATTTTAGCCCGTAGCCTCTCAGATTTATCTACACGTATAAACACATATCTTTGAAAATAGGATAATGCTAGCACTGTTTTATAATCACGTGATTCCCATTTTTAACAGGTGGGTAGTGGGGGTCCCACGTCACAGTGGGCAGTGTGGAAGGTTGACTGCGGGTGTCCTCTGAGGCCAGGGTCCGCATCTGGGAACCAGGCTGCTGCTTAAGCCCTCAGGGGCCAGAGAGAAGGGTTGCCTCTATTTGATGGCCGTAGGAATGGAACCCCAGCAAAAAAGCTGGGGTTTGCTGGGACTGGGCTTAGGGGAAAAGCCCCCGAACCTCCCCTGGTGCCCCACAGTCCCACGTGGGTGAGGCTCCAGAGCTCCTACCGCTGCAAAACTGGACTTTGCCTTGCAGTAAACAGTCACAGGGATGACAGGGGTCGGCTGTCGGGCAGGGGGCCCAGAGGGAGCTTGGTGGCAGGATCGACCTGGAGACGATGACCCCAGAGAGCAACTGGATATTTGCTGGGTGGCCTTGAAGGGCCTGCCCTTTTTGTATTTTTAGAAAGGGAGTGAGAGCACAGCGGTGGCCCAGCAACTGCCTCATTGCCCTGGGGCATTGCCCCGGGCTGTACAAAGGGTCCTTCCAGCCAGGTTCGCGGCAGGACCAGCTGGCCTTCCTGCCTTCTTTACTCCTTCAGTCCCTCCCCCCACCCTCTTCTCCTTCTTTCCTTCCTGAGCACACACTACTGGTCAGATACTGAGTCAGGCACTAGAAGAAAGATTTTCTCAGAGATCCGGCCTTCAAAAGCTAAACAGAGGCTTCCAGAACAACACAGTTGTTAAGAGTTTGAGCTCTGGTCTCAGACAGAGCTGCGTTCAAATTTTGACTCGCCCTTGTTACTTAACACCCTTGAACCTGCCCGTCTCCTGGCAGGATTCTACAAGAAGCGAGAAAATGCATAAAAACACTTAGAAGAGCGCCCAGAACAGGGCGGGTTCTGAATAAATAGAGCTACTACAAGAGAAGGTGTACATGTGGAAGAATTCTAGAGTTTGGGCTGGTTAACATGTTCAGCACCCACGACAGATCTAGCTCTAGAGAATCCCTGGGGGCTGGGTGAGAGCCCGCCTGGACCCACTGGACATGTTTGCCAAGGGTTTGGCAGCCTTTGGCAGAGGGTCATTCCTGCCACGTACGTGGCCTGGGCCACACGCTAGTTCCTCACGGCGAGGGAGGAGGGGTGGGGGCCTCTCCTTCCACAAAGGAGGAAGCTGAGAGGCAGCGAGGTTGCACGACCTGCCTGAGAGAAGAAACGGCCGCCAGGCTCAGTTCAGATCCCAGCACAGTGCCCACCATCTGCTCAGCCTTCCTCTCCCCAGATGCCGGCCCACGGCCTCAAAGCTGGCGCTCAGAGTGCGGGGCCTGGGGGAACGTGTGGGTGTACAACCTCACGTCTGTGTTCAAATCCTGAAGAAGGAAGAGAGCAGGTGTGAGAAGCCAGGCAGGTCTGCTGGGCTGAGCGAGACTCCTGGGGCTCGGCTGGCAGGCTGGCGTGAAGCCAAGACGTCTTTGGGTTGGCTGAAGCCATGGGGTTGGAGGGGGGGGCAGGGTTGGCCGACCCTTGACGGCCGTTTCCACCCAGGCTGTGGTCCAGGGGACTCTGCTCTAGGAACTCCTCTCCATCTCAATCCCATGTGCCTCTGGAGCTGCAGTGAACATAACAGCATTGCTTCCTCACTTGCAGCCTGTTTCATCTATGCCAGGACCCAGGCACTGTGACCACATGGATAGGACACACACACACACACACTCACACACACACACACACGTGCGCTAAAGCTATAGGGAGTCCTGAGAGGGTCAGGAGTCACATGCCCATGTAAGGAGCTCCAGATAAGAGACCTGTGGAGCACAGCTCACCATGGTTCTGCCTCATAAGCCCCCTCCGAAGGAATACAGGTGGCAAATGCATCATTCGTTCACTCAGCAAGCCGGGCTGGGTGCCAGGCTCTGGGATATAACAGTGAACAAGACAGATAAAGTCCTTGTTCCCATGACGTTTATCTGCTGGGGTGGGACTGAAACGGTCTTTTTATCTCCTGGCTTCCCCCTTTATACGCTGCATTTCTCTGCTAAGCCTTGTCATTTTAGGGGATTAGGCGAACAGGGCTACAGGGAAGGCAGGGATCTCTGTTGTATCCTCGATGCCGAGCACATGTTTGTTAAACTGAACCGAGCAGGAATCTTGGCAGGCTCTCCCTGCAGGGCTGGGTGGGGCGGGAAACGCACCACCTTCCCTTTTCCCACCTCACCATCAGATACGATCTGCTTTGTGAGGTCTTCTCACCTGGACTGTTGCCAGAGACTGCGGGCACAGCTCTCACAGCTTCTTAGTCTGATTGCCTGAAATCCCGAGGAAACCATCCCCAACTTTTGGAAGTGTATCATCTGGTGGCGACATACGAAACTCATATGCACCATCGTGTGGAATGCTGATATTTTGCTTTCCGATTAACTGTTCTGAAAGCCATTTACACCTACCTGTGCATAGGCGTCCTATCTGGATTTAGGTTCCACCACAAAATATGAGGTTCTACAAGACCAAGAAATGCTCTGAGTCAAGACATAAAGAGAATCTGAGGGTAAATGTACCAGAGCCCTCTGAACAGGCACATGGTCAGTAGTGCCAGGCAGCGCTGAACACTGGGTAGACAGGATCTGGTGGAGGATGGTGGCTGCTGGTGTGAAATACAGATTTTGATGTAGTCACTATTCAGAGCAAAGATCTAAGTGTGCTTACCTATACGCACTTTAGACAAGCGCCCACTTTTGAGAGGTTTACAACGGCCTACGCTTCAGGAGCTGTGTGCTGTAGTGGTTAAGGATACAGGCTCCAGAGCCTTCCTGGGTTCAGACCCTGGCTCTGATATTTATTAATTTTTTTAAATGTTTTTATTTATTTCTGAGAGAGAGAGAGAGAGAGAGCAGGGGAGGGTCAGAGAGAGAGGGAAACACAGAATCTGAAACAGGCTCCAGGCTCTGAGCTAGCTGTCAGCACAGAGCCCGACGCGGGGCTCAAACCCACGAACCGTGAGATCATGACCTGAGCCGAAGTCGGACGCTTAACCGACTGAGCCACCAGGCGCCCTGGCTCTGATATTTAACAGCCAGTGATCCTGGGCAAAATTACTGAATTGTTCTGAATCTCAAGGTTCTCATCTATGAAATAGGTGTTGTTAAAAGAACTCAGTGACAAGATCAATGTGGAAATGTCGGACACCAAGCCTGCAAGACAGTAAATACTAACTACTACACTTTGGCAGCACGGTGTAGACCAATGGGCCTCAAACTTGAGCTCACATGAGCATCACCTGAAAACAGAGGCTGCTGGCTGCTACCCTGAGCTTCTGATGGGGGGGGGGGGGAGGAAGACTCTGACAATTTGCATTTCTAACAAGTTCTATTGCTACCACTCCTTCCTCAGGGACCGCCTTTTAAGAACCACTGGTATGGAAGAAAGAATGTAGTTTAGGATTTTGACACTGAGACCACCCCGTAGTATCTATCTGGTGACTCTGAGCAGATGGTTTCTTTGAGCCTCAGTGACTTCATTTGTAAAATGGGACTGCCAGTAGCCACTTCGTGGGGGTTGTGTCTGGCCTACGGCATTATCATTAGGTGTCGTTGTTCACATTTTAGCCCAATGTGTTGGCCCTTGCAAGCTGAGGAGGATTACAATGAGTGGGGGGAGGTGGGGGGAAGCCTGGGGAATGCTGCTGGAACCCAAGGTCAAAATGGGGTCTGGAGCAAAATGCCAGGCAGGTCTTGGGAGCCCCAGAGCAAAGTGCTCACTTAAAAAGTACTCTTGCTTAGGGTATTGGGAGAGAGCGGAAAACTCCTTTGGAAATTTCTATGTGGCCAATCCATGATTAATTTTGGACCTAACTGAGAGAACAGTGTTTCCTGAAAGCCACTGACAAGGTGACCTCTCGCAGGGGAGGTGGAAAATGCTTCCTAAGAAAGAGCAAACAGGCCCCATGGGGTTCTATTGCAACCCCTGTGTCTTCCTGTCCCTCCCTGCACACTCTCTTCCTTTTATATATAGCCCCCTTTTGTTAGAAAGCAGCCCCGTCACCTCCTTTCCTCTCAAAGGGATCAAAAAAGCACTTGGATTCCTGACCCCTGGGCAGGTGGAGCTAAGGCGGGCTTGCCGAGCTGTTTCCCTGTAGCCCCCTCCCCCTGGTGGAGAACAGTGGCATTGCAGACCTTCCCGGGGGAGGCTTCTCCCCACCTGTCCGGTGTTCAATCTCGAAAGCCCAGGTTTGCAGCCCAGATCAAGGCCTGGAGCTTCTCAGCAAGACTGCGCCCAAGGCTTGGAGGAGATTTCTGGGTTGGCTGGGAATAATAGTCCAGTATTATTATCACTGGAATAGCATGCAAAATATACCCCACACGAGACAGTTTAGAGACTGTTGATTTTTAAGAGTGAGGTCCACTGCTCTTGGCATGGGGAAGCCGGCTGTCAGAGCGCTAGCCCCAGACGGAGGCCTCAGGGGTCTGGGCCTTTGCAGGTTTGGGCCTGGATATATGTGGCAGTCTCCAATCTGAGCCATTCACTCCCTGAGGGGGGATACCAGTGGATAAGGGGCTTTTTTTTTTTTTTTTAAGTTTATTTATTTATTTATTTTGAACAGGAGGTGGGGAGGGGGCATGCAGAAAGATAGGGAGAGAGAATCCCAAGCAGGCTCGGTGCTATCAGCACACAGCCCAACATGGGGCTCAATCTCACAAACCACAAGATTCTGACCTAAACCGAGATTAAGAGTCAGACCCTCCCTTAAGGACTCAGCCAGCCAGGTGCCCCCAGGGACTTTTATTTTAAAGGCAGATTCACTGTCCAAACACTACTCCCCTCACCCAGAAGCCATTGTATGTGAATCCCACCCTCAAAGATCCTTTCCTGGAAAAAATTCTTTCAAATAAAAAATTCAACATTACCATCATTTATTGTGCATGTAACTGTGGGCATGTCACCAAGCAAGGCACCCAGGGGACCCAGGTATACTGAAGATGCAATCCTTGCCTTAAAGCAGGCAGCCGGAGGAGCTGTCGGGGGAGGTCTAAGCAAAGCCTGAGGCCAGTACAGGCAGGGCAGCCTCTGCACAGGGTCTGGGCAGAGTGTGCTTAGGGACAGGTTCTAGAAGGGATGGGAAGCTTGGGAGGGTGGGGAGGGCATGGGAAAGAAAGGCCTTAAGTCCTGGAGCCGAGCAAGAGCAGGCCGGGAAGGGTGGGGTGTGTTCAGGGAACAGTGAGTAATCTGGTGTGGCCCAGGGCTGTTGAGCATCACTGTGCCTGGCACCGGCCGAGTGGTAATAAGTGAGGGTTTGCTCTCTGCCCCCTCCCAGGGGTGGGAGGAGGAGCAGTGCGCCAGGCTAGAGAGAGGGGTAGCAGTGAGGACCTGCAGCCCTGAGTTCTGGCAGGGACCCCAGACCCGGTGTAGGGGGCTTGTCTGAGAATTTCCCTTCCTTTTTTTTTTTTTTTTTTAATGTTTATTTATTTTTGAAAGAGAGAGAGACAGAGCACAAGTGGCGGAGGGGCAGAGAGAGAGGGAGACACAGAATCCGAAGCAGGCTCCAGGCTCTGAGCTGACAGAGCCACCCAGGCGCCCGGAGAATGTCCCTTCCTGACACACGGGCCGGGGGTGAGGGGAGAGGTTGTTGAAATAAGCAGAGGTATCTCGATGACCATAGGGTTTGCTGGAAAGGCTAATGGTGCCTTTGAAATCTGGGCTGGGACAGGCCCTGAGTCACAGCATATTATTTAAAATGCGTCCTAGGCCCACAGGTGCCACGTCTAATCCAGAGTGGAGGAGATTCTTCTCTCCTGTTTGAATACTTTATAGTTTTAAATTCACCCGCTTTATCTCATCGATCTGTTTAACAGCCGCTTTGTGCTCAACAGGGCAGATCTTACTCCCATCCCACGGCTGGAGAAGCTAAGGGCTGGGTGTGATGAAGTTCTACATTCCACTTAGGTTTAGCCATTGGACTCCGTATAGCGAACGTTTGTTTTTGTTTTAGTGTTCTTATTTTTTAGAGAGTTCAAACATTCAAACATTCACAATTCAAAAGGTATGGATAAAAGTCTCTCTATTAACCCTATCTTCCCAGCCCCCTGGGTCATTTTTTTGCCGGCTGGAACCCAAGCCTTTCTGCCACCTGGTGCAGGGGCTCAGGGACACTGTAGATTCGGGAAAGCCCGAGGCAAATTTCACCGCTAGGGGTGTTTTACCTCTTCTTA